TCGATGTCGATGTCGAAATCGAAGTCGAGGATGGGTAGAAAGTTGTCGCTGTTGGTGGATCGTTCCCTTCAGCGAACTCAGCGTGGGATGGTTGTATATGGTGTGTATGGCTGCGAAATAGCCTTACACACCCCAATTTCTAGGTTTGCGGCCCGAATGTTAATATTGGTTGGTGTGCGTTACAGTACGCGTACTACCCGCTAAGCGAATATATTACCGGAGATCGGGGCTTTGTTGTTCCTCCTGCCCTAACCTTCACGTCAGCCCTGACTAAGCCGGACCAAGGTTAGTTAACTAGTTACCGCCTGCCAACGCTGTCCAACGGCACAACAACAGACGACATCAAACCAGCAACAACTGCCTATGCGATTGGGATATTGGGATAATGTAAGATGCGAACAAGCAGGCACTGAGGAGCATAGTATTGGTGATGATGGGGTAATACCTGTTAACCTTGGAAGACATGGGCTCTCTACACTAACCACTCACACCCCCCTGATAACGCATACTCGAGTAACTTGAGTATTACGTCGTTCCTCCGGCCCGCCCTTGATATGCATACCACCATTAACCCCTCGCATTAGATCTTCCATCCAAGCCAGCCAGCCAACCACTCAGCTCCAAATACACATAGCACCATACCAAATCAAAATAAACAAACAAAGAAAAAAACCCCTCAGAGAAAAATAGGACAGCGTAAGATTGCCCAGGTGTCAGCCATGGCGACGACGACACCCAAGTCCGGACAACGAACACAACAACCACCAACAAAACCTTCTCCCCAATCTCAGTCTCAACACCGACTTGCCCCTCCCTTATTCCTCCCAGCCTCCAGCCTACACACTACTGCTACTACTACTTCTACTGCTACCACGGCTAAAACCACCATGGCACCCTCTGCTGCCACCACCCACCTCCCCGGCCTGCCCCGCAAATGGTCAAAATGGTCAGCACGCAACCTGGCCCCCCCTGACTTCGCTCCTATCTCTCCAACTAAAACTGCAACAACCACTACAGCAGCATCCCCCGTCTCGCCATCGCCCTTCATGCGGTCATCCCAACACCCGGCAACGGCAGCGGGACAAGCACAGGAACCGGGACCAAGCCCTGGCCCTGGCCCTGGCCCTCGACCGTCACTGGCGCATGTCCATGGACAATGGCATGGCTCCGGTTACGGAAAACTCGATGGGACCGGTGCCCACGCCAGGATTGCAAGCGCAGAAGCCCTCTGGCAAGAAATGCAAAACACGCTTGCGGAAGTGGAGCTCAGCGCGATGAATGGGGACCACGTTTTTGGTACAGAACATGCCAGAGCGCTGGAGGAGTTAAGGAGTAAACAGCTTTCGCTGGCGCAGGCGTGGTCGAGGAGTGAGGTTGATGAAGTTGTTGGTAGTGGGACGGATGCGGATAGGGATGGGGATTTGGATGCGGGTGTTGGTGTGGGTATTGGTATTGGTATTGGTATGCGAGGTGAGGGGCATGCTAGCGGCGGCGGTGGTGGTAATAATGCTGGTAATAATAGTAATAATAATAATAGTAATAATATGGAGGATACGGGTAAGGACACTACAACTGCTGCTGCTGGTGCTGGTGGAACCACGACCGCCACTGTTACCAACGCCGTCTCTGGCACCGCAACTGCGACTGCGAACGCAACCGCGACTGCAATGTCTGCCGCTGCCGCCACCGCCAATGCTTCTACATCAACTCTCGCCGATCAAGGGCCGCAGGAAACGCCTCTGCTGGGTGAGAATACGGAGAGGGACATCTTACTAGCGCGCAAGCGGCGGGAGGCTAACGATCGGTACTTTGACAGGGTTAACGGGGGTGTTTTGGATGTTGTGGCTAAGCTTGAGGAGGTGGCGATGACTATGAGGGTTGTGGAGCGGGAGAGTAAGGAGATTTGGGATGAGAGTGAGGATTCGGGGATTTCGGGAGAGGGAACGGGAACGGGAAGCGGTAGGGGCAGTAGTAGTGGTTCTTCTGCTGCTTCGACGGCTGGTGGGTCGACGAATAATACCTGAAATGGATAACATTAACCTCATAGCTATTGGTTGGGGATTGTTGGAGGGCGCTTTTGCTGTGCTGTTTCCCCTTCTTCTATCCTCTCCTGTCTATCTGTCTATCCAGATATGGATATACAGCACACGTGCATACATTCACCTCCCAATTCCCGGCTTCTGCACTTGAACAGACCTGGATCTCGGATAACGGATAGTTCTCCTGGACCCCCAAAATGGGGCTCTCGTTGCTGTCCCATTTGACCGCGCCCAAATTATGAATTTATGAATTTATGACTTCCACACACGCGCATCTTGACGTCATATCATATCTCATCCACAGCTTACTGGAGAGAGAGGCAGCAGCATGGGCGGGCATCTCTCACATCAGATAGCAGATAGGGATAGAATCTGCATAACCTCCCCACCATCTATTCTGCAGATCTACTATTGAAACACCCATTCCCGTCCCTCATCCCAGGACGCTCCGTTATCGCACGAGAAACGCCCAGTTTCGCAAAAATTGCATCATCGCCATTAGACATCAGCAATGGGCATCAACATGAAATCATCATGCATATAAGACAGAATCGGGGATTTAGTTTTTAGTTTTTCTTTCTGATGGCTTTTTTTTAGCTAGAGATAATCTTCTTAATTTTAATCTTTTTTGGAGAAACACACGGTCGGGTTAAGGGAGCAAGAGGGGAGGAGGGGGGGGGGGGGGGGGGGGGGGGATGTTAAAATGTATCTACCTAGACATGTACTGCTCATGTAGATTCCTCATCAATGCCGGTTTTGGGGGATTACGGTAGCTGTTCTTTGCAGATTATTGGCTGGAGATAGGGGAAAGAGGATGTTTTGGTATGATGTGTAAAGTCCCTAGTGGGGAATTAGAGAGAGAGAGTTACCACAAGTGGCTTGTAGATATGTGGGGAGGATGAATACTGTTTATATTATATGCATGTCAGCCTTTCTTCATCACCTCGTGTATGTAGGCTTCGGCCTAGGCCGGTATTTGGAGGGGAAAGTAAAGATGCCTGCCGTAAGGGGGGAGGTTGTCAGTAGAGAGAACAATAGATGCATACGACCCTTGTACATGTCCCACATTACGTCGTGATACGGAGTAAAGGACATGTCGATAAAATAGATCCTATGATACATGTAGCTACTCGATAATACAGAAGAGGATGGGAAGATGTGTATACAATCCAATCCAAACCAACACCAATGCACGCACCATCGCTAGAATCCTAGGTAGAAATCAAGCCCCCTACACATCCTCCTCATACCACCTAATCACTCCCCCTCTCCTCCCGCTCCCACCCACGCCCTCTCCCCAGCGCCTCCACCGTCTCCCCCGCACCCTCCCTCACCCTCCTCACAGCCCTCTCAACCCCCTCATTCCACCTCTCCCTAACCAAATCCATCAACCCGCCGCCTTCACGCGGGAAATAACCCCTCCGCGCCAACACTGCGGTAACAGCATCTACGTTTCCATCCTTGCCCCCTGCGCACTGGCCATGGGTGCTCGTATATCGCTGGCCGTTCCTGGTAATTTTTGCGGTTGTCGTAGGTAGGGCTATGGCATCTATGGCGTCGATTTGCTCGCGGAGAAGGATGTGTTGGTTGTGTCGGTGGGCGAGGTGGAGGTGGAGGGTTAGGGCTAAGACGGTTGTGGTGAGGGATAGGCCACTGAGCTGTGGTGGGGGAAAGGTGAGAGGTTGTTCTAGTGTGAGTGAGTGATGGGGCGAGGGTCGAGCAGGCCCTTTGGAGAGGTGGGCTAAACATTGCATTTCGGGGCGGTGGATGGGTGTTGTATAGAATGATGTAGGCTAGAGACTTACGAAGCCAATTGGGAACCCCATTATTTGGTGGGATTGCCCTTGCGGGCCAATGTAGACGGTCTTCTCAATATCTTCCTCTGGAAAATATATCTGAATACCTATGGCATCCCGTAATAGCCGCAATGGAGCTCTATGTCAAGCTAAGTTCGGGGGCTTTGAGTGGTTGTTTAACAGAAGGTTGGATATAACATGAAATGGTTAAATAGCTCTCGTAAATTTATCTGGTTCATATTCTTATCAGATCGCTGGCTGTGCTCCGATTGGCTGGAATCATTGTCCCCTTCTCAAATTCTCGATCTCCGTAACTACAAGAACATGCCCTCTACGATAGAAACCAGCCTCGATCAACACCAGTCCCACCCAATTCTCTCCAATACAGCTGATACATATCTCTCGAATTGGGAATTGCAAATTCTCCACTCCATTTCCGGATCCATTGTCCGCATTCCCTCCGCGAAGGAACTCCCTTCCCCTGACCTAACATTCCTCCACCACAGCCATGGCAGGCGGCCACTTGAAATACCGGCATCTAAACCGCGACTCCGCACACCGAAAAGCCCTCCTGCGAAACCTAGTCACATCGCTTTTTGAGCATGAGGCTATCCAAACGACATGGCCTAAGGCCAAGGAGGCACAACGCCTGGCAGAGAAGCTGATCACAATGAGCAAGAGGAACACGGAAACGAGCAGGCAGAGGGCGCAGGCAGTGTTTTTTGTATGTGCAATTTTTCGCTTGTATCTATTGATTATATCAAATATACATATCTATATGTGGTTTTTCCAAGACCAAGTTCTTCGGTGAAATTGTACACACCAATGCCCGCTCTGAGGCTACATCCAGCGTTGATACTATCCCTATTTCCACAAACCATCCAAACCCTACCACACACACACACACACACACACACACACACACACACACACAAATATATATATGTATATATAACTAACCACCCTTCCCCCAGAAACCCGAACTCAACCACAAACTCTTCGGCCCCATCCGCGAACGCTACCTAAATCGACCAGGCGGCTACACGCGCGTCCTACGCATCGAGCCCGCAAAGGAAGACCAAGCCCCCTCCGCCATCCTTGAGCTCGTCGATGGACCGCGCGACATGCGCTTTGCCATGACAGCGCGGACTCTGGCTCGCAAGCGCTCGGAGGGTGATAATAGTATGAATGAACTTACGGCTATGAATGTGTTGAAGGTTACGAGGTTTAGGCCTGATGGGGAGAAGTCATTGGAGAGGGAGGTTGAGAGGATTCAGAGGGAGCAGAGGAGGAAGAAGGAGGAGGAGGAGGAGAAGGGGGAGGTTGATTAGGTTTTTACGTGCTCTGTCACTTTCCCCCCGGGTGGGGGGGTGTGGTTCCTTGTGGTTGTGGGTGATATGTTTTTGGCTTAGATTATGTATCCTCTCATGTCTGTTCCAAGAGAGTCTACGTTATGGTAGCTCAGCTACTTTACTGTACATTATTGGGAAGAAATATTTAAGAAATATTTGACAAAGATAGACTGAAAAGCTTCTGATATGTTCATCTCATCTCTCATATATTCACTCTACAAGAGGCTAGAAACAGACATGGCTACAAAATGAGTGAAAGAGAAAGAAAAAGAGAAAAAGAACCATTTCTTATACTTCCTAATCAGTCCCTAATCACGCAGGAGAATAAATTTTTTAAAAAACTTACATCAGGAAGAAACAAAACCAGGAGTGGAAAAATATAAGCAAGGGGGATATAACATGGCCACGGGGTAAGAGCTTCCATATAGAGAGAAGGACATAATCTGGATATCATCAAAAGAAAAGTTCTAGGAGGATTTCTTTTCCCTCCTTTCCCTGTTTCTCTTTCTTTAAACATCAGCCAGGACCAAAATGTGGCCTAAGAAAGAAGAAGAGGGAAAAAAAAAGATCAAAACATCTCAACAGCCCAACCTCACCTGTAACATGCCCCATTTAGATGAAAACCAAACTCATTTCTGAATGTCAGATTCATCAGATTCATTTAATGAGTAAAGAAATGCAGATTACTGAAGATGGCAAACACTTATGAGGAAATTGTAACAGACAGTATTATCAGCCAAGTCAGTAATAAGCTTTGTGAAAGGCTTTCTTCCTTTCATTTCATTTTCTTCCAAACATCCCGCCCCAAAATCATTAACCAGAAAGTATTCAGTCACCCTCTATCCCTTCACCAACCCCCCTGGCACCATCTCACTAAACCACCGTTAGATCCTGTTCACTCCCATATTCCACTGAACCCAATATTCACCCATATTAACCCATGCCATACCCCGCAAACTAATGTGGTATAGGCAAGAAATAAATATAAGAAAAAATCAATTTTATACACCCGTGGTCATATTGCCACGGGGTCTCTGGTGGGAAATCCCGCTGGATACGACAAGAGGACCACTCTGCTTGGGGAGAGAAGGGGGTGGGTTCGTAAATGATGACTGGAGAGGCAACGTGGAATTTTTGTTTTTGAGATCGAAATCATAAGGTACTTGAGACGGCGGTGGTTTTGGCGGGAGATGGGCTGGAGTACCCCATTTCGCTATTGAGTCGTGAGGGCCGGAAGAGGGGCCGTGAATAGGTGAGTGGACCATGGCGGGAGGGGGTGCAGAGGTCTTCATGTTAGATTGGGGGTTCAATTGGTTTGTTGGGGGATAGTTCGTCGATGAGTGGTGAGGTTGGTCCTGGTTGCCTGTCCATGAAGGTGGAGTGGAGTATTGAGGAGGAGAGTTCATGTAGGGCGGGTTCATTGTTGGTGGCGGGTTTCCGGGAAATCGAGATTGAGAATTGCCTCCAGGAACAAAGGATCTAGTTTGGGGGTTGAAGTTTGAACGGGAGAAACTTCCTGGAAAAGGGTGCTGTGATGAATTATTTTGATTGCCGGGCGGGAACCGTTGGTTTTGCATTTGATTGTAAGGGAAAGTCACCTGACCCGAATTTATTGAGTGTTGGGGGTAATTTGGCCAGAGAGTTGCAGACGAATTACGTTGGGTCGATTGTGGCGAGTATGGGGTTGGGTATTGCGGTTGATTCCACGTTGAGGTGTTTTGTTGCTGGAATGGAACCGTGTTGGGAAGTGCATATGAACCTATTCCCGGCGAGGATCTGGTTGAAGCCTGTTGAAGAACCATTGGCGGCATTTGGTTGACCTGGGAAAATCCAGCGTATGGAGGGGATGGCTGCAAGTGTCCGGGATGCCAATTATTTTGATTCATGTGTGGCGGGGCATTAACAGGGTATTGAGGTGCGGGGACTACATTCCCACCACCAGGTGGTTGATACGCTGGAGTAACATGGTTGTTGTCCTGAGGGAAAGTTGCCGATGGTGGTAGCGAGGAGGCCGACATATAGTAATGGCTCTGGGCACCGAATGATCCATCTGGCATAATTCCGTTAAATGGTGGAGGTGCACTTGAGTAAGGTGCTCCCGGATAGTACGCGTTGAACTGGGACCTTGCTTCAAAACTGTCGTCATGAGGGGTTCTCTGTTTGTGGCCTTTTCGATTGCCATTCCCCGAGTTGGACCGTGAGATATTCGCACTCTGATCTCCATTGTTTGAATTGTCGGAAGTCTTAGATTCTGGGAAATCCCTGAATATGCGCTCTCGGGCTTCTTGGTATTTTGCTTCACGTTCCTCTCGACTCATTGTTGCCCGGTCTTTTGCGGGAGTGGCTCCAAGCGATGACCCCGCTCCTTCCTCGTTACCATCTGCACCGGCTTCCGACGTAGCTTTCGAAGGAGCTGAAGAGCTAGGCGCCGTGCTCCCAGCACCCGACATGCCCCCTCCTGTTTGACCAGAGCGACGCATAATTTTCATCGCTGGGGCATTTGGAGGTGGAGTTTTGATTGCATTGGGTGGTTGGAGCATGCTTAGCGGAGTTGGCCTGATTTTCATGTTAGTGACCTGCTATTGGCACAAAATAAGGCTCTGTATGGAACTCACAGTCTGCACCATGGTGTTCTGTGAAGTCTAACGGATGTCACATTATTGTCGACAAAGTGAGTTAGATGATAATAATCGCCCAACTTGTGCGCGAGAAGTCGCCCAAAAGCGTTACAGGGAGGCAGTTCCAAAGATTGTTCACTTGTTGTAGGTTAGTAGAGCGTCAAGAAAAGCTCGCTATCATCGGGGTTCACGTACGCGGAGTCCTTGATGAATGCGATAATTTTCTCTTCGAGTTGAAGTATCAATAACCGATCTTTAGGAGAGATCATCGCTTCAAGCAGCTTCTCATCCGGTTCATTAGGAAAACTATGGAGGACCTGTTCGGTTTTGCCGTTCGGGGAGATTATTTCAGTGATGCCCGTATTATTGAGTTGTGTTCTATTAGGAAAACGCTCAGAAACTCCTTGGCCAGACATCCGATACAGGCGTCCACTAGCTTCAGAACCGACTTGGGAATTGGGAGCATCTGAAGCAGGTCCTGAGAAGGAATCATCCTCTTCTGCTGCTTGTACACTAGCGCTATCATCTGGACGCAATGACTCTTTTTCATCCATCGCAAAGGTGGTAACAGATGCCATGCTCTTCGAGTCAAAACTCGTAGGCTTTGTAGAAGAGTTCGATAGGTAGGTTTGATCGTCTTCAAAGGCTCCCTCAGGCTTAATTCCGACGTCATCCCGGCCATCGCCAGTTTCTGAATGTGCATCACCATCATTCTTCTCCAGATGGATATGGAAATTTTGCACAGATTTATTCAGGTGGTCTATGTTTTCGGGATCCTCCTGATGTATATTCTGAGGAGGCTCGTTAGGAGCTATCTCTGAAGGACCGTTTGAGGCTTCCTCAGCTCTCATAGGAATAGAGTTGTCCGGAGCATTGTCAACGTGCGGAGCGGGAGACTGCTTTGTTGGCGGGGGGGGCATCGCAGCAACCTAAAGCAAAATAATTTAGTTATAATCACCAATGGAAATACACAGATATATATAAGGAGCATGGAGTGCATACCTCTGCAAAGGATGGGCGCTCCATATCCGGCCGAGAAGTTTTAGAGGCGATGGAGGCCAAAATGCTGATCTCACGAATAGCCAGCCAAAATGACAATACCAACGTCTAACTTTCAAGATATCAATGCAATCTAACAGGCCATCGACTACGGGGATCAAGCGGAGGCAATTTCACAAGAAAATCCCACTTCACACAAGTCCAGATCCTTGGGCGACATATCTCTGGGTAACGAAGTTCGCCATATGAAAATATACTAAACGAGAGTTCACAAAAGAAAATATGCCGCAGATCAGGAAGCAGAGGACATGGTAAAGCACACAGGAATTCAATGGGTATGTTCGACGAAAGGAATGGACGATGCTTATTATTCACTGTAGAAAAGTCGAACGAGCCTCCTTTTAAGGGTCAGAACAGAAGTTTCATGCTGCTGGAAAAAAAAACCGCGAGAAGACGAAGACACGCGTGGGGTGGGAACACAAACAAAATGCAATGCAATATCACTGTGCAAAGGACGAGATTGACCAGCCGAACAGAGGTTGCGGGATGCGAAGCAGGTCGTAAGGGCCTGGACGATGAAGTCGCTTTGGGTAGCTGAACTGAATGTTCTGCAGTGGGGATGCTTGGAGGTTTGAATGGGGTGCTAAAGTTAAACTAGGCTGATGGGCTTTGTCAGCAACTAGCCGCGCGGTTGCGCTAATACTAGCACCCAACGGATATGGTAATTCGACGATCTTGTGGACGGATATTACCAGGAACAAACCACAGAAACTAAATTTACTTACGACTGAGGGAAAGGAAAAGCCCCAAGCTGAATATACTACCCGGTCACCTACAGTTCTGCAATAGGGCAACAAACCGCCACAAAGACGATAGTCTAGTGTTACATGCGCTGGGGTATTTATCCTCACTGCGCAAGCCCAGCTTGAATCCAGGATGCAATGAATCGATATCGTAATATTCCTGGCTTAAAGCCAGCATCCAAGGCATCACCCACCACGCTTTGCCAGAAATGTCTTAAAAAAGATAAGTTTTTGGGGTCCTGGTCATTCGCATGGCCCTCCAGCTGACAAAAGATTACGACACTACAGCTATGAATGTAAGGCGTCGGCTCAGGAACGGCCCTATATATCTCGTCCATCCAGGACGCAGCAGCTAGCAAACCCCAAACTGGTGCCGGAGCTAATGAGCGATGTTCCGAATGATCTATTACGAACGTACGCATATATCCCAAACGTACTGTAATTGAGTTCTCACACTGACAATCTTCACAGAAAGGGTGTAGCTGATGAACAGCTAGCGCTGAAAGAGAATGAACGGAGTCGCAAAAGGGACTCCGATTATGATGATAGAGACCGCGAAGGTATTCGAGGGCATTCCAGAAAACGGGCAAGATCCGTTTCTCCAGCGTACTCTGCAGATTCCGTTTCCACGATTTCAACAAACCGATCCTGGTCTCGATCTCCACGGCGAAAACGAGACCTATCACCATCACCGGGTAGGTCGAGGGAACGGAAAAGGAAAATAAACGAAAGTGTTTCAAGAGCTTCCCATCTCTCCGCTTCTCCTGTTGAGAAAAAGAGAGCACTTTCCAGAGCAACAGATCGAAATACAAGGCGGAGAATGAGGTCGCAGAGTCCCCATGAACGAGGCCGGCAGCATGAACCAGACAGACGAGGGAGCTGGAGAAACCGGTCGCAAAGCCAGAGTATGGATAGAAGTTCGATTGCGAAACAACGGTGGTCTTTGACTCCTGATGGCCTGGATCGAAATGGTGGATATACAGACCGTGATCGTTCTCATCGGCCACGCAGCCAGGAGAGGTTCCAGGAAGGACCACGGGGCGTTCGGGATCATGAACCTCCTTATCGTGGGGCGAGAGACGTTCTTCGGAGTCCACCCTCGCCCAGGGAGCGAAGTCTAAGCCCCTTCAGCAAACGACTGGCTCTTACCCAGGCCATGAATATGAGTAGGTAGAGAGGACAGTATATTTTAGCCAGAGGGATATTTTTATTGCGGGCGCATATTTTTTTAATACGTCTAATTGTGTTACAATAGTTTTATCGTTTTCGCCCTCTAATTCGGGCTAATATTAAACCATTGTTGTTGTCTTGTTGTTTTGAAGCCAGGATCATAAATGCAGCAACAAATATTGGGGAACTCAGCCCGTCTTAACATCCCTTTAATTTTCGATCAAAACTATGTATCTGTACATGTCCCAAACCGTGACGCCGTCCCTTAAACGATACTGAAACTCCCTGCATGCTATCGTGAAAATGAAATAACAACAACGCAACCCTGGTATCATTCCATCTCGTCGTCTTCCTCCCTTTCCCTCCTCTCCTCTTCAGCTTCATCCCGTTCTCTCAAATGTATTCCTTCGACAAGTGCCCCTCCATCCATCCCCACCTCCTGGCCATCCCCATCACCCCCGCCAGAGGCCATATTTTTCTCCCTAGCTTCCCTCTGCGCATTCTGTATTCTCTCACGAACCAATCTCGCAATCGCGTTCTGAGTCCTGACATTCACAATCTTCACCTTCTCATCGAGATCCCGTTTCAAGTCCCAATTTGGATTTTTAGGCTGGAGCTTGAATAGATCGATCGGTTTATCGGCTTCCTCGTCCTCTTTTGCAGCTTGTTCAGTTGATATCGCAATTTTGGCCGCTTGTTCTTCCAGAGTCGTTTGTCCTTCTATTGGCAAATGTTCAAAACCAAGCTTTGGTCCCCGGGTCTCGGGGTCGTAGTTTCTTCCGGATAGGAACCGCGAAGCGACATCTTTTGACATTTCTTCCTTTGCGCCGTCTTGCTTGGAGAAATCTTGTTCTGAGGAATCTGGTTCGGGTTGCTTTCGTTTGAGAGCGGCGAGCTTAGCAAGACGGGCTTTTCGCTCCGTCGCCGCAGCATCAAGAGTGGTATGTGTAGATGCCATGGAGTTATTTTCGGAGAGCAAAAACGAAAAATTGTAATAGAGAAGCTTGCAGCGCGTAATTATTTGTCCTGGACATTTTACAGTTAAGTAAATATGTGACTTGGTTTTCTCTATATCAATTTTCAGCCACATAGCCACCAGCCACATATTTGTCAGCCACACCCGGCTAGCAAAAAAGTTTCTCCAATTTACAACCAGAAAACCTAAATCTTGAAGATACGTCCAACATCCAAAGCCTCTGGATCGGTCTCCGTCTGCATCATTCTGCAACACTGTGCAATTGTACGGCAAGCCATGTGGGACCAGTATACAGTCTAAATACAGCAAGTTGCACTATCAATGCTGGACTCCCTGCATGCTCGTTCGCCCATGCAGTGTTTATCGCTGCGAGCGCCGTTGCTCGCAATCAGGCCAGCATTCGACAATTAGGCGTCTATCATTTCGCTGTGAAATCTTGCAGCTTGCATATATAGCCAGATTTTACCATAACCGACCTGGGGCCCTCCTTCAAAATGTCCAGGGCCACGATATTACCCTCCCCAGTGCCGCAAAACGGACCCACCATATTTCACTTTCTCCCGCTCTGCTCTCGTCCCAGAACCGAGGGACACAGACTCCATATCTCGCTGGCTGTGCCAGTTTTCTTATGGGACAAATCCTACTACGGAGGGGTTTCATTGCCTCTTTCCTATACAACTCCTCTATTCAAAACCGACCATACTATTCCGACGCAACTGCCATCTCCACAAGCCATCAAAAATCTCACTCGGACCAAGATGTTCCCAGGGGTCAGACTGCCACCCCTGAAGATAGTACTTTTAGAGCTAACGCTCAAATAGCTCCACCTTTGCCTCCGGAAAACACAATTACACATACCACTTGGCGCAGTATCTACATGCAGAGTCCTGGTGCTGATTCAGGCAGAAAAAGCTACAATGATGATCGTCAAAGGAAAGACTCAGCAATCCGGGAGGCCATCAATAAAGCGATAGACGCAGCGGCGGCGGAGAGCCACCGCTTTTTAAAACCTTCTCAGCGTCGGCGAGAATACTTCTTGAGATCAAGATGTCTCTATACCAAAACCTTAATTCATCCGCATTGGAACAACAATTTCCACAGTTTGTATCAGCACAAATTGAAAGGGGAAAATATGTCAACATTATGGGAAAAACTAAAGTTAGATTATGAAGAGGAGGCGATGAGATGGCTAACTGGGATCAACTGGGTCACAGAAGACCTGCACTATTTGGAGAGACAATGGTTCAAACTTACCCGGGACGAAAGAGCGAGGCTATGGCCTCCCATTGCGCTTTGGTTGCTCATCAATTCTCCACGAGCTGCTCTTTCATTTCTTGTCGTGACAAGTAGACCACCATATGCGGCTTTTAACATGATCGCAATGTGCTTTTTGTATCTTCGGGCATTTCATTTTGATAAGGACTTTGCCCCGGATGAGCGATATAACCAGCTCTACCATAAAGCACTACGTATCTGCCTTAATCCAAGCAAATGGCCGGTCATTCAGGCATTCGAGCCCGGAATACGCGTGTACCTTTCTCAAGTCCCTCCCGAGGATATGGCTGCCGCATTTGACACCGTCGTTAACCAAAAAATTTACCTCGAATACCAGACCCTAACCTTCTTTATGGATCTTTTTGTCAAGCAAGGCGACATTTCAAGGTCGTTAGCGGCTTTAAAATTAGTTCGAACCTGTCATTGTTATCCTCAGATTCTCTCAAATCCGCATGTTTTGGACCGTTGCTGCATGCTCCTTTCTTTGGATTATGTGATTGAAAAGGACAATCAGCGGTATTTTAGGATCCTACCTGAGATCTTAGATTTTGGTGTTCCTTTAAATCAGCCCATGCTGAACATCATCTTCCGCAACGCCCTGAAGCAGAAAGCCCCGGAGTTCGTGCCGCATGTTCTACACGAGATGGGGGAGAAGGGCCTTTCTCCGAACTCATATACGTATATATCCCTTTTGGATGATGCCGTCTCCCGTCGTGATCTGCAGCACCTTGATGTAATCGTACGAGAGATTAGTGGTCAAGAATCTCTCAGGACAAATCCGTTTGTCACAAGCAAGATGCTCCACATTTTCTATTCACTGGACCGCCTCAACCCAGATGGAGGGTGGGGAGACACCGATATGTTCTCTCGCATGCTGAATATATATAGCAGAGCCCATAATATTCAACCCCTCGTGGATTTAGGCATCATTCACGAAGGCCAGGACGGTCTACATATTGACGAATCGGAAGAATCCCCACCTTCAAACCACGCTTTATGCATCATGACTGCTGCATATCTAAGAATTCTGGGCAGTACACGAGAAGTGCGCAACGTCTTCGACCGCTTTCTGGAGCTACGCGATCAAGGGCATGAGGCCATCGGACCCTTGGCGGAATCCGACTATATATATAACACATTCCTCTATGAATTTGCGCATCGCCGTGCACATCGAATGGAAAATTGTGTCGCGGTCCTGAGCACCATGCTCCAACCACTACCACCCAGCGCCGTTCTCCAATCCCAGAACAACCGTCCCCTCGAACAAGTCAAGCCGACGATCCATACATGGACTATCTTCCTCAGCGCGTTTGTTCGCGAGCGCCAGCCCCAAGCCATCGAGAAGATTCGCGATATGATGGCGAAGCAGGGTATGAAGTTTAACGACTATACCTGGAATACTGCGGTCAGAGGCTTTTCCAAAATGCAGATGGTGGAGCAGGCTGCTCAGGCAGTGAATACGATGGTGAAGGAAGGGTGGACTGTTGATGAATATACGTTGAAAGGTATGCGATATGTCCGTGATTATGATCGATTATTTGCTCTGCTGGATAATGTGGAGGCCAAAATCAATGGCGATGCAAGGGGCAAGTCAGTTGAAAGAGAATAGTTGACGAGATAGCGGAAAGTGAAGAATACAGAGAGCCAGTTGAGAGTCGAGTGGAAATCGACGGCTGTGCAGGAGTCAATGAATTGACATTCTGCCTAACTAGGATATATCGTAGGTGATGTTCTGTTCGTGTAAATTAATATTTATATGATATTTTCGCTTTTCATTGTACCATACAGTGTCGACATAAAATAGTTAAATGTAACCATCACTTATTATAGGAATTTAGACTTGATATAATGTGCTATGCAACCCCTTTGGAGACGAACAAAGAGCAAACTCTATATCAACATTCAACATTATTGATGAATTTCATTATAGTGCCCCAAATCTGTGTATCCTAGAAGAAAAGAAAGTCCCAATATATAAACTCACGAAACTCCCAACACCATGCATGCAGTGGAGGAAAGAGAGGATAAGAGCGAGACTGGTTCAAGTTGACCCTTTTACTGTCCAAAAAATAGCGATATCTGAAAGTGATTGACTCATGTTAGTAGACAGACATGTATGTCAAGTGTATTCATGCATTTGCTCTACCCCCCCCCCCCCAAAAAAAAAAAGAACTTACAGCCATGGCTAGACAACATAAACTGACGTAGGGACTAAGCCGTTCCCCAACTCGAGCGCATTTCCAGAAGATCCCGAAGAAACTGTAAACGTCCACCGAGCGATATTGCAGTCAGCAAACTAGACTTAAAAAGAACATGTATATCCACTACGGTTTGGAGGAATCCAAAACTTCCATACCCGTTCTGGTTGCGATCCATTATCCCCGGCATTATCGAATGGGCGTAAGTGCTTGTGCAGATGATGAGGAGAATGACGAGGAGGAGGGATTGGAAGTTGAAGAACGCAGTCTATTGAATATCTCTCAATGTCAGCCATCTGAGAAGAAGGTGAGGAGGAGTAACAAAAGGCCGGGTATGAGGGAAGGGCTGGTAGATATAATGAATTCACTGACCATTGTGAGGGGAAGCAGGCGATTGCTTTGTGTTTGTGCCGTTCACACAGGTTTCACACCAAGTCCTTTACAAAATCCCCAATATAAAATCCTCCAACTCTTTACAGTTGTGCCTGCTCCAGCTCTCGAGATCTTATCATAAACCGCTCCGTTCGTCTACTGTTGTGGAGTAGAAACCAGCTATCCATACAAACTTGGCCAGTGACGGTCCTCGCCCAAAAACACGGTCCATCTGCCAAGCGCTCATTAGACGCGCGCCACTGAACTATTACCGCTAAGCGCCATGGATCAACGTCGAACTCCTCCGACGGAACGACAAAGCGTCTTAGTGATTTCCACTATTTTGTGAAGAATGCTCCTCATCACCAGGATTACTACGAACTCGAGCAGGCATTGAATTCTGCGGACTTGGGTGAATGCGCTAGCCGGCGAAAAGAAAGGCACTCCTCCACCCAAGACGAAGGCAGTTGGCAAAACCGCATGCAGCGGACGAGAATACAACCAACTATCTAGCCCGTCGCAAAGTGAGACAGCTGACTACCGGCATGGCTGAACCGCGAGTTCGACTTACTCGACATCAGGGCCAGCTGAATTTTGGGAATGAGTGTATGGCTCTGCCCTTTCCTTTACTCCTTAAGCCATCTTCCCCATGTTTTTCCCCGTAATCCTCAATCTATTTTCTCCCCTTATATACAAACCTTCTAACAAAGTACGCACAATAAAAACAAACAAACAAACAAACAGTACGCCACCTTCTACACGCCTATGGCGACCCATCCCCACACCCCTCTTACCCCCAGGAACCCCTCCCCGAAACCCTCCGCGTCCTCGACGAGATCGTTACAGACTTCATAATCGAAACCTGCCACTCCGCTGCCCAGTGCGCCACCTACTCGCGTCGCCAGAAGATCAAAGTCGATGACTTCCGCTTCGCCCTGCGCCGTGACCCGGTCAAACTAGGCCGTGTGCAGGAGCTGTTCCGCATCGAGCGTGAACTCAAGGAGGCGAGGAGGGCGTTTGATCAGAACGATGACCAGGTTGCGGCTAGTGGAAAGAAGGGGTTAGAGGAGTTGGCGGAATCGGTTGTTGAGGGCGGGGATGGGTCTTCTGCTACGGCTGCAGGGCCGAAGAAGGGGAAGGGCAAGGCTTCGTCTGTTTCGGTTACGGGGAAGAGGGCAGTTGATACAACCTCCGAGGGGGTTGTTGCGAAGAAGAGAAAGAGTGTTGCTGGTGGTTCTGTTACTTGAATTGGGTGGTATGTGTTTGGGGTCGGCCTGGATTTGAAGAGAGGGGCCGCTTTTGTGGATTAATCTGTTTACATCTCCAAGTTTCTTATTGCATGGCGTGGTGTTGGGCTTCCTAGGGTGGGCGTTTGTTCTATTTAAGTGCTTAGGGTTCGTAAAGCACTGCATAGTGAGTATGTATCAAATCTGTATCTTTTCCCCCCGTTGGACGTATACATATACAAAATTTGAATGTGCCCTCACGAAGTGATCACTTTTGTCTATCTTAAATCATGTATGCAACACCGAGATCTCACGCTTTTTCCATAGCAGTCATAATATCCCGACATGACGAAATAGCAAAGTCTGCATATCTCATCATTTCGTGTTAAGAGGCAATGCTTCTCTCGCTTTTTGAAAGGAAAATAACTAGGGGTCGTAAAGTGGGCACGTGGTAAAAATGAGAGCAAACGAGAAGAAAAGAAAATCAGACAAAAATCGAAGGCCAAAAACGACTCCAATGACGCCTTGCTTTGTGCCCCAAATCTGGGCAACACTGCAATGTGGTATGGTAAAACCACGGGGCAAGCCATATCAGACGACTACACATCCCGTAGAAAGAGAAAATGGAAGTATACTATCGAAGGATGGAGGTGAAACCGTTAAATCTGCAGATTGGTAATTTGTTTGCAATTGCATATATTAATTTCCGTTCATGCCTCGACCCCACCACGGTCTTGAATTCGCTGCTGACCGCCTCGTCCACGGCCGCCGCCACGTCCGCCTCGCTGGCCTCCCGACTCTCCACCTGCACCACCAGCGTGGGCACTTGCGGCGCCCTCACCACCAAGAGTTAGTTGGGCAGTTGCTAATCGGTTGGAAAGCTCCATTTGTGTGCGGATGGTGTTTGCGAGGTAGGAAACCACAAGTACATCCTGGATGTGGTTGTTACTGTAGATATAGGTTAATAGATAGTATCATACAGCAAACCGCTAAGAGAATATGAGGGCACATACAAGTCATTTTCGATATCAGCGGCGTCAACCTTTGGAGCCAAGGCGAGGGCGTTGAGAAGGAATTGACCCAGGGCAGTTGAAGCGGGAGCTTCCTCATCCATTACATTTTCAACATATTTCGATACTCGATCGATCATGCCCAGAACATCTTCAATGGCCTTTTCGAGCGCCTCGATATCAGTGAACAGGTTGGCGGTGTGATTTTCGCTGTCTCTGGCAGCGGCAATGGCCTCCAAACCATTCCTCTCTGCGTCGCCGTATCTGATTTCATAAGGCACGGGTATGAATGCAGCGCTATCAGCGGCTCTTTCCTCTGTGACGCCCACCGGGGCTGAGATGTATGTCCTAGTCTCAATCTCCTTCCCGGGAACCGTAGATACTGTCAAGTGTACGGCTGGGTGAGGCCACGTTCCATTTCCTTGGCTACCGTAAAAATTCTGAATGAGCGCAGAGAAGGTATTGAGTTCTGAGGATGTAGCATACCAACCCACAAGGACTTCCTTGGGGTTGGCTTTCAAGTGTAGAGCAAGCATCTGCTTCTGGTACTCCATATCAACCTCGACCTGGTCGGTTGTCTCCGTGTGTCCGACTGCGAAACAAGACCGAATTTCGACTTCAGAACCATCCTCGGATCGGGTCCCCAGGAGAGTACCAATGACGCGTTCCTGATCGGCATTGCGACGAAGGGAATGATCAAGAATGGAAAATATCGCCTATTTGAAGGGCATTAGAAGTGCGAATGTTCATGCATTGGAGCTTCTTGTAGGGGGGCGCTATATTCTTACTTGTGGTAGTATCACGACGTTGAGAGGGCCAGTGGAGGGTTGAGCGCCAACAGGAGCAGGGCCCAGAGGCCGCGAGAGATGGAGAAATGAATCGGTATCAGCCATGCTGGGCAGTACAAATCCCACGTCACAAGCAAGCTTCAGGAGAGGCGGTGGGAGGAATTGATGTTGCTTGTTGGTTCGGCCTGGAGATGTTGCAGGTTGCGGTTGGTTCAAATGGGGCTCAAATTGTGTGTGTGCGGCACCAAGAGTAGATTTCACGCTAAGATAAGATAAACTTTCAACCTCCCCGTAAAAAAAAAAAAAAAATACAATCAGGGGGACAACAAGCAATATAACAACATCAGCGATCTGGCAATCTGGCAACCTGGCAGCAGCTTTTAGGTAGCTCGGAATTTACCTATTGGAGATGGCTGCGGGCCGCGGAAGAGGGGGCAGCACACCATTTAATGTTCGAGGAGGCCGCGGAAGGGGCCAGAAGGGCGGCCGTGGAAGCCGAAGACCGACCTTCGAAGCCTCGAGGGTGGCAGAAGCTCAGTACGATATTCTTCCATCGCCATTGTCTTCACAAGGAAAAACTAACTGTGACCAAGTCATGGGGGTTCCTCAGAGGATGGATCGGTACACTCGGGAAGCGATCTAGACGCAGAAGATCAGCTAGAGGCCCCCGACGAAAGTTCCCCCAGCAGCAGTGATGATGAAGAGGACGAGAACAAGACGGAGAAACCATATAATACGTTACTACAGTTGTTTAATGCTGGGCAAGATGCCGGTGGACCGGCTAGAAAAAGGCGGAAAATGGACCATAATTCCAAGAAAGTCGATGTTGAAGTGAAGGGTTCCGATGAATCCGATGCTGAGGGGCTTTTATTGGAATCAGAAGGCGAGGAAAGCTCTGAAGGCGAGGAAATGGAGGATATGGAGGATATGCCTATGGACGAAGTCAGAACAGAGAATTCTGGTGACGAAAACGATGGTATGTGACCAGCTGCTAAAAATGATATATGTATATATTCTGACTACCTTTGCCAGCATCGGATCCGTTTGAAATACACTTCTCAAATGTAGACAGTACATTGCTATCGCAGAAGATAGAGGCTATCTCCTCAAAAGGCTGGCAATCGCATAAGAGTGAACTTCCAGGCAAGTTAAGGCTGATGGCCAGTCAGCCAAACACAGAAGGCCATACAATACAGGTACTGCCTGCAACTCAGGGTGTTGATAATTTGAAGGTCTGTGAATTGCTCTGCAAACGGCATCACACAAGGAAGCTAATAAATCGTTTAGTTGAAGCAAAAACTGGCAAACCATGCAGGCGACCATATCTCTAAATTTGATAGCCTTGCTTCAAGCCTTGTCCCTTACATGTTCGGCTACCAAGACTTGCTTTTCGGTGCAAGAACGCTATCCAATTCTGCAATGTTCCGAGATCTCTACTGCCTGCATGCTCTAAACCATATCCTTAAAACTCGAGACCGGGTGTTGAAAAACAACTCTCGGCTGCAAAAGGAACCCGAATCAGATCTGGAATTGCGAGACCAAGGCTTTACCCGCCCCAAAGTGTTGATCATATTACCAACTCGACAAGCTTGTGTGCGGGTCATGGAATCTATTACGAAATTATATCAGCCTGAGCAGCAGGAAAATAAAGCCAGGTTCCATGAGACTTTTTCTGCTGCCGATGATAAGTTGTGGGAGCACAAACCGGACGACTTCCGGGAGCTGTTTGGTGGGAATGATGATGATATGTTCAGGTTGGGCTTGAAGTTCACACGGAAAACGATCAAGTACTTTTCACAGTTCTACAATTCTGATATCATACTGGCAAGTCCGCTGGGTCTTCGAATGGTCATGGATAAAGAAGAGTATGTGTTTGCTGCGAGTGTCTCTTCTTGTGGTTTCCCTTGGGTATCAAGCAGCTGACGGGCTTCTTTTTGAACGATTCACAGTGGTAAAAAACAAGACTTCGATTTCCTTTCTTCAATCGAGATAGCCATTGTCGATCAAGCAGACGCCCTCCTAATGCAGAACTGGGAGCATACCGAATACGTCTTCGCGCACCTAAACCTGCAGCCGAAAGAATCTCACGGCTGTGACTTCAGTCGCGTCCGTAACTGGTATTTAGATGACCAGGCCAAATACGTCCGCCAGACCCTCACCTTCTCATCCTTCATCACCCCCGAAATAAACGCCCTATTCTCATCCCGGATGCAAAACACCGCAGGCAAAATCAAAGCCACCCCAACCTACGAAGGTGCTATCCTCGACATTCCACTGCCAGTCCCCGTCAAACAGACCTTCTCTAGATTCAATTCGTCATCCCCCGTGAAAGACCCCGAAAACCGCTTCAAGTACTTTACCAGCACAGTTCTTTCATCTCTCATCCGCAGCTCCACGGGCAGAGGAGGAACCCCCAGAGCGTCAGGCACTCTAATCTTCATCCCATCCTATTTGGACTTCGTTCGCATTCGCAACTACCTCGCCACCTCCTCACAGACGGAGCATCTCTCCTTCGGCGCCATATCAGAGTACACATCTGTGCGCGACGTGGCTCGGGCGCGGACCCATTTCTTCAGCGGCCGCCACTCGGTCCTGCTCTACACGGAGCGAACGCACCATTTCCGCCGCTATCACATCCGAGGAGTGAAAAGGATTATCATGTATGGTGTGCCGGAGAACCCGGTTTTCTGGGGGGAGGTTGTAGGGTTTCTGGGTTTAGATCCGGCGGGGACGGCGGAGGCGGCGGAGGGGGGTGTGCGGGCGATGTTTTCAAAATGGGATGCTTTGAAGATGGAGAGGATTGTTGGGACGAAGAGGTTGGGTAATATGTTGACGGAGAAGGGGGGGGCTACGTTTAGTTTTGTATAAGGTGATTGTGTATTGCGTTCAGCATAGCATGTTTTGGATACTCCACGAATCATTCCATGTCTTATATCTATTCCTTTTTATTTATTTGATTGTTTGTATACATATATATATATATATATGTATGTATCTTTCCCCTCTATTCTTCTCCTCCTTTCCGGTTCTCTCGGGTAAGCAAATCTGTATTCTTCCCAACGTAAATTTGCTGACCGCGTCCTGTCAAGGGCTGTTCTATTGTTAGAGCCATACATTGACAGCACATCGTTGCAAAGCTCAGTCGCATGGTTCCACTCTCCGAGCTAAATATAATAACCGCAAAGTCGTAGAGAGTTAACTTGCACCTCGCGATCACGAATTTCACCAGATCGAACGACATGGATTGTACCATGTAACTAAGTCCCTTTAACGGTACTCCATAGCGTTTCCCTCCAGCACCCATCGGTCTACTGTCAAGGCGGAGAGCCCTTTAATTTTTAATTCCAGCCCAGAACCAGAAAAATGTTCCGGATATATTTGTACCCCCGCCCAAGAGTTTTACCGAGCGGGACAAACAGAGAAAATCGCCCCCACATCGCTGAAGTAATAAACTTCGGAGCCTAACGCCGCATATAAAGGTTCTGGGAGCCTGCGACGGGTGATTGGATCAGCGCGGTTCTCCCCAGCGCAATCGGCTATTCCACGGACTCTCAGGCAGAGTATCGTCCCCTGGGCTTATACCAGGCAAAGATCTGGCTATATGCTAGTTGATTAAAGACGCTTTCTCGTCTCCGGGAGTCGGAGGAGATAGATATTCTGAACATCCGCATTGGAGGCCTCCCCTCCGCAGTCGTTATCTGATCCTAATATGAAATCGTTCTCTCGCGGCATTCGTTGATTCAAGGATTACAGATTTACTTCCGGAACAACTTTTCTCTCTCTTCAAAAGAGCCTGGAACTTATATCAGAAACAAAATATCCAAGACGCCTCATCAGTGTCATACGCGGACCATGTCCACCCGACGACAGGAAGTGAGCGCGGTGGAACCGCCTGTCGAATCCGCAGATCCCTCGAACAATGCTCTGTCTCAGGACGGAGAGATGATATTATCCAATGGGCAGACTTCCGCCGGGAGCCTTCTCTACAACTACACTCGTCCAGATCCAGATGCAAATGAAGAATCACCAGAGTCTCATTCACGTAGAATAGAAACTGCTCCTCCCCTTTCCTCTTCCGCCATCACTGACCAGCATGGCAATAAACTCCAATCCCCATTTCTCGACCTTCATGTTTCCGCCCCGACTGCCTTCCCGGATCAACTGGAACCCTCACAGCCCAATTCCCCTCTGAACAATACCAGAAACGCCCCGCCAATGCAAACATGGCGTCACAAGCTGCATCACTCATGGCTCATGAGCAAGGGGATGGTCCTGGTAATGCTCGCTCAGTTCTTCGGCGCATCCATGAACGTCATGACCCGTACGCTTCAGTTGGATGGGAAGCATGGGAAAGGCATGCATCCGTTTCAGGTGCGTGGCTTGCAGTTTCACAAACACACCACATCTGTATTAACCCAAAATAAAATATGAAAATAAAATATGAAATTAGAAATTAGAAATAAAAACCACCCAACTAACCCCTCCCCCACCCATCCAGATCCTCTTCGTCCGCATGGGCTCCACCGTCCTCCTCAGCGCCCTCTATATGGCCTACACCCGCGTCCCGCACCCCCTCGGCCGGCGCGCCGTGCGCCCCCTCCTCCTCCTCCGCGGCATCAGTGGCTTCTTCGGCGTCTTCGGCCTCTACCACTCCCTCCTCTACCTCGCCCTCTCAGAAGCAACAGTCCTAACCTTCCTCGCCCCCATCGGCTCCTGCTACCTGTGCTCACTAATCATGCCCAACGAGACCTTCACGCGCAGACAGCAGATGGCCGCGCTGGTCTCGTTGTCTGGTGTCGTGTTGATTGCCAAGCCGTCGTTGCTTGTTCACGCTTTCTCAGCGGTTGTTGGGGGGTCTCCTGATGCTGATGCGGCTGCGGCTGCGGCTGCTACAGACGACGAGCCATATAAACGCACACTTGGCATCCTCTCCGCACTCCTGGGCGTTCTAGGCGCCACGGTGGCGTACAGTTCCATCCGCATAATCGGCAAGCGCGCCCACCCGCTCGTTAGCGTGACGTATTTCAGCGCTATAACGACCGTGGTCTCGTTGCTGGGTGTGCTGTTGATACCATCCGTCACGTTCCGGTTGCCGGGAAATGTCA